CTCTCCAAGCGTCTGCTCCCCAGCTTCACAGCGAAAGCCTGTCCTCTGTGCTTCTTCCTGTGCTTGGACTTCCTCGACCAGGCTGGACGTAGGCACTACGCAGATCACACAGCGGCGACCGCAGAGCTCCTTCAGATGTCGCCGCCCAGGCTCGGCCACATCACACTTCTCTTCTCTGGGGCAGGGGGTACGGATCAAAGTTGCCTTGCCATCGAGTACATCATTCTATCGGTCGCCTGCCAGCTGTCATTCGGCCTACTTTACGGTAGCAGCGGTTCTGTGTGACATATTTCAGCTGGAGCTTCATCGTGCCCTGCAGGTTCTGTAGCAAGATTCAGTACCCTCGTCATCAGCATCGTTCCAAACCTATTGCCCGAGGTCATGACAATGGCTGGCGGAGGACCAGGAGCAAAATTGGGCGAGAAGTGGTCGTAGCGGTCGTAGCGATCATGTTGCCAGGGGGTTACGCCTGGTGCAAAATCAAAAGCACACGACGATCACCTTTTGGCTCAAGATGATGTTCACGCAACTGCAAGCATCATTGTTACTGCATTCTTTCCCACAGGTATCCCCGAGTGCAATTCNNGGCATTGTCATGCAATGTGCTATCCTTTGCTAAGCTGACAGAGTCGATCCACAATGCCGCCGGCGATAGCTTGGACTGGTATAAGGGTCCATCACATGCTGGAAAACTGGGCGTGCCTTGGCCCACGGCATGTCTTGCACTGTCCAGAGCTTGACCGTGCCTCGTCGTGTGCATCCCAGGCAATGCATACCGAGCGTCCAGCTGCTGATGCTGCGGCAGCTGGCCGAGGAGCTCTGTGATTTGAAGTGGCGGACCATGCCTCGTTTGGGATAGCTTGCTGCAAGGGCTCGGGCTGCTTGAGCTTGTTGAGGGCTGTGACTGCGAAATGGTCTGGCGGCTTGCCCCCTCCCTCACATGTTAACACGTGCTCGTGATTTGTGTCACATCGCAGAATGACTTCTTGCGAGCATCTCACAGACTAGAAAGTATGCATGCTCCCTCGATGTTGTTTCCGCAAAGCGGCATGTCCAGGAGCTCTCCGAGCAACTGGATGTGGCGCGCAAGCAGCTTGCTGCAAGGCTCGTTCAAGCTGACGGTCTGACGCCTTTCGTCCTCTCGTGAGCCTATGAATGTGATGGTTGCACTCTTTGCAAGTCCAAGGCAGCAGCGGCACAGCGACGCTTCTCAGGCGACCACATGCCCTTCGGATGGAGGGCCGTCTCCGGAGGCCAGAAGCAGAGTCACTGGAAGACGCGATCATCGACAGTTGCTTTGCTTGACAGGATTTTCCAGAGGCACGAGAGGAGCAGCCAGAGGAAGAGTCGCCAAGCAGCATTCATGTGGAGCATGGCCCGGGAATTGACGAGTGGCTCAGCTCTTTCCGTGCCCAGGTCCGACATTCATCGGCCGTCCATCGCGAAATTATCGCTTCCAGAGCGGATGACTCCGCCGCACCCCGGCCAGCAGCATCAGTTGTCGCATCGAGAAGCGCATCGCAGCCAGTACACATTCCAAATTTCTGCAAGGTGCCAGGTACTCATTCCGCGTACCCAACCACGTGTTGTGTAGACTTGCAGTGTCGCCACAAGAAGTCCAAAGTCCGCCTGCCCTTCGTTCAGTTCTCCCGAACATGTCCAACCATGCATAGCGATGCCGCAAGATGCAGAAACATTCCTTCCAGCGTGATGTTTATAGGTGTATGCCTTGGGACTCCTGCAAGACGTGCTAGCGAGGCCATCACCATCAAACCGCAGCAGCGAGCTGCGCGGAAACCCTTTTGATGGGCTGCCTGTGCATCAGCGGGAGCCTGAAAGAGGGTGTGAGGAAACGTTGCGGAGCGATCCCTACTTAGCAACAAGAATGTTTGGGCAGAGGTTGCTGCCAGCGAGTGCAACTGTGCATCCGATCAGTGTTTTGCTTGAGGTGTGAGGATGTCAGGTTTCCCAGCTACGTCACCCCAGGATGACTGAGAGGGGAGTTCTTATCTTCTCACGAAGGCTAGCTCTGGAGCTTTCGGGAGTTGTCGTTTACCGATGCAAGTAAGTAGAAGTATCCCGGGTCAAAATGAAGCTAAGGGCCTGTATCTCGTCATGCAACAACACTTAATAGGGAACGGGGGAGGCCCTCCTTGCCGACATCTCCCGAACAAATGCAAATGCTTCTGAGCAGTGGTCGTTGCTGTTCCTGCCCCAAGCGGTTCCCGACAAGGTCCACAGGATCACAAAGTTCCTCCTTCGAACATGGCGGGACTGATGCCGCTTGCCAGACGGACGGCGAGGACTGATGCTGCTGACCAGGAAGAAAGAATCTCCTCTCGAGACCCAGCTCAAAGAGGAAGGGCTGGGAATTGTGAAGCAATTGTTTGTGGGCAAATTACGATGTTGTTCACTGCGTTCTTCCAGCCGAAACGTCCGCAGAGCAGTTTGGTGCATGGGGCTGGAGGCACAGTACTGCAGTCATGTCAAGTAGGTGGCGCTGCATTACTCTTCACCTTTCCATTGGAGTGTCAGTGGCAAGGCCTTCCTGTATTCGTGTCGCTGCACTGTCGCCATCAGGCAACGTCGAGAGAGAAATGGTATGAGTTCTAGCGCTGCGTGCCTCGTGCTGCCATCGATCAAAATTCGGGCTGCACGGGCACGAAGTCCTTTACTGGTGCAATCACGGCTCCGCGATGCTTCCCGTTTGAGCAGGCATGCCAAGAACTCATCCAAAGAACATGCCGGTCACAGCGAAGGTCGTATGGACCGTCCTATCTTGGCTCAAGCAAAGCAGGTCAAAGAGCTTTGACCACGGTGCCTCGCAGAGTTCTGTGATGCCGCGCAGCAGCAAGCTCAAGAAGGAGAAGGCCAGTCATGTTGACGGAAATACAGGGCGATCGCATGTGGTTAGCATATCATGTCAGCTATGAGATATACAACATGAGCCACACATTTTGTGTAGCATTCGAGCTCGTCGGGCAGGACTTCGAGGATCACGTCTGTGTGTGTGTGTGAGACAGTACAAGGCTTGCGTGTCTTGTGCTGGTCGTGACGTAGGAAGCATACAGTCTACCCGTGATCATCGTTTGCCCATGTGCAGGTGAGGCATACACGGGTAAGTACGACACCAAGAAACGAATCAAGATCCTAGGACATGAACGAGGGAATGCAGAATCGATGCAAGCAGGCCAAAGCAGCCGCCTTGTACTTCCGGCAGCAGGCCCGCTCTGTGTTGCCGATATCCGGGCAGTTCCGGTGAAGGTGGAAGGTTGACTTGCGGTACGGCAGATTGTGCAATCGAAGCTCGCACACGCCGCCCAGTAGACCGCACATGTCCGGATAGACTGCATTCTCTTGTGGCAGTTGCTTTGCATTTGCAGGTGCAAGATTGTAAGAAGGCAACCAGCCCATGTTGCAGGTTTCTGTTGAGCAGCGGAGGGCACTGTAGTAGCCTTTGTAAGACCTGTTGGAACTCCAGAGCAATGTACAACTTCGTGACTATTAGTTGTTGCAGGCAGCGGCTGCAAAGCAGCTCGGGCCTTGAAGCTGCGCAAGTCGCAAGTTGTGCGCTGATGTGGGACCTGTGCTGAAGTGCCGCATGTCGTGAGCCGGCATGAGGTCAGATGTCTTCGCCAGTGCGCGCTCCTCGGGTACTGCAGCGAAAACTGCTGTTGCGATGTATTTTGCGGTGTCATGCCCATTACGCAGCCGCCGGCAGCAAAGGTGTGTCACCAGTTTGGCAGATTGTGTGATGTAGGACCGGAAGGTGGCCGTGCAGTGACTGTTGAGGCGTCGCCGTTGCGACGTAGCTGTGGCGAGGCCTGCGCCCACCATTGAAGACATGTTAGCGTGGCTTCCGTGAGGATTCTTTTCGTGCGTCACATTGCCTCTGTCACCGGTCGCCAGTGTCTTTTTTGTCGTGGTGTCGCGGAGCTCTGTCTATTTTGTGCTTGCTGTGATGTTGCAGCCTGGTTTCTGTTCCTGGTCTTGGAGTAGCGGAAAAGCTGTATCTGACCGTTCCGCATGGGAGCAAAGTGCATCGCAATTCTATCTCCCGGATACCTGAACACTGCTCGCAAGGGCACTGCCTTCCTGCGTGACGAGCTTCCTGCAGATGAGGCAGATCGGGGTACAGGTGACACGGTCAGGGGTCATCATAGGGGCAAGTGGCTTGCAGAGTCTGTGACACAGCTCGGCAGTGCAGAGGGGGCGAAAACAAGGCACCACACCCAGCCATCACAACCTTAAAGACACCGGGAGGGAGATAACTTTCGAAAGCCCAGCTGATCGCTTCATTTCCACATCTTTAAAAGGGGTTCGCTGAGTTTTGTCTTCCCCAACTCTGTGAAGCGGGAGCGTTGCAACTTACAACAGCCTGCGACCGTGCACCAAGCAGTTGCAATCTTCTTCCAGGGAGTGCAGACGACAGCGTCCAAGCTTTCCGAGCTTGGAGCCAGTATTGCCATTATGTTTTTCCTTGTCCCAATATGTCAAACCTTGTATCGGGTCTTCGTTTGCCCTTTTTGGGCAACCCGCGCAGATGATTCTTATTGGTGTTGCGTGCAGGAAGCGCACAGAGCGAAGGCCTCGGGAAGGGTCGGCAGGCGACTGCTTTGTAAAGTGAGAAGGGTTTGCGTCGCTGTGAGGAACTGGGCCGCCACGGCACAGGATTTCTCCGAAAGGAAGATGTGGCCGGTCTGGTGGACGAGGAGGAGGACGAGCCCGGGTCTCCGGAGGCCCGACAAGCGTCGCGAGAATCTTGCTGCAAGCTTGCCGAGCTGCTCAGCCCCACAGTCGCTTTCTTTCGGCCTGGCATGGGAGGCCGGACGGAGAAAGGTTAGCTTCGAAAAGCCGGCAGAAGAGGCACGTTGCAAGCAAGCGACCTAAGACGACTTACCGAGTTCACAGTTTCACATAGTAGCTACTGGAGCACTCATGGGACATTTGCATTGCTTTAGCAGCCGTGCTGACGAGTTCAAAAGCTAGAGATTCAAAGAGAACGAACGGGAGGGAAAGCCCGTGGTGTTTGTTCAGTTTCCACGCTGTGTTCGAAGATGGTGTTCTCTCGGGAGTGAAATCAGACTCGCAAGGCTCGCAAGGGCACCGGCGTCGTGAATATGGGCGATCTTCCGTCGGATGACCAGGATCGAGACACGACTTGGAGTCAACACAGTTCATGCAGTGTCTGTCTTGTGGCAGGAAGCAGATGGTGCGCGAAAACATGTGGTC